GAGCGGTGGCCGTGGCCGCGGGGTGAGCGGTGGCCCTGGAGACAATGGGCGGGTTTTGCTTGCCGGGCTTTGTGCTGGAGCGATGGATGCAACGGCTCAATTCCTGGTGGGAGGGGTTTCTTTGTGTTTTTCTTTTTTTTCTTTTCTTTTGCAGGTGTACCTGTAACTCATGCCTTCCCGGTGCTCTTAGCTTTCCTCCTCCTGTTCACAGAAAGCCCCCTTTTTCCTTGAGACGCTAGAATACAGTGCCGACAAAGTTAAAGCTGTGTAGATGTTAAGAAAGGTTTTGGGGCTGGCCTGTAGGCTGACTTGTCCTGATACACAGCTTCAGGTAGTAGCTATGTTTAAAAAGTACCTTGGCCCTAGTGTGTAATGCCTGGGTTTGAGCAGTGTTGTGTCTGTTGCCTGCTAGTAGTCATATCTGTTTATCATTAACCAGTTTTGAAGGGCAAACTTAGGTTCAAGAGGTATCGGTGTACAAAACCTGAACCTCTTTCCTGCTGGAGTTTCCTTTTAATGTTAATTTGTGGTTTAGGTGGTTAAAAAGAAGTTAAATTTTACAGTTACTTGAAGAGCTGTGAAGCACAGGAAACTTAAATACACAGGGCTTTTTTGGTTGTACCTAGCTTCATCATGTGGCAGAAGTGTGCAAGAGTTGAAATAAAAAGATGTTTCCAATAAAACGCAGGATTTTCTTTCTGCACTGTTTATCCTTCTATGGTTGCTCAGAAGGAAACTGGCAAAAGAAGCACTTGCTGAAGAGACAGGCTGTAGCAGCACTGAGGCGGAACAAACTCTAGTGCTAATATATTCTTGGTATATATTGTTGCAATATTAACTAATAATAGTTAATTTAGAATGCAGGTTTAGCAGCATGACAGCAAACTGTATGTCTTCAATCTTGTGTGTGTGTTTTTAAAGGAGAGCACATCAATTTGTGTAAGAACTTGAATTGTGTAAATTGTAAGCTTTCTCTTCGTAGTCAGTTCTTGCTGACTTCCCTTAATTACGTGTTACTTTTCATAGTAAATTCAAAATTAGAAAAGAAAATAATAAGTGCTAATATTATTTGGGAATGTATGAGAGAAGAAGTGCTTAACACTGCACAGCAAGATGCTCAAATAGGTATGGTGAATGTAAGTATGGTTAGGAGTCTATATAGAGTTTGCATGTTTGAAAAAAATTCAGAACTATGTATGTTAAAGTTTCAGGGGAGAAAGTTCTCCAGCTCACTCTTTACCTCCAACTACTTGATGCTAAACTTGCTGGTACAAGAGAAAATGCGAGCAGAACTACTACTGTTTGTTTCCTTCTCCAGAGTGTTCTTAGTAGTGACTGTTTTGGAGTTTTGCTTCGTTTCTGAAGTTTTTAAAAAGTAGTGGTAGTTGAAGTATTCTGGCAGCACAAGCAGTATGTCTTCCTGCTTGTTGCAGCCCTGTCAAGGGCCCATTACAGCACAAAAGTCAGATGTTGTTTGAAAGTTGAAAGTGATGAACACACTGTTGTCCTTTCATCTCACACTGAAGAGGGCCTCTGTTTTTGACAACTGAAGTGACTTGCTAAGCCTGGAGGCTTCTTGAGCAAGGGAAAGCAGAAGAAAGTGTTTTCAAGTAGACCAGGTTACACTTTTTTTCTAAGATACGTGGTATGGGTTTGTAGGGTTTTTTTTTTTGTTGTTTGGAAAGTGACTGGTGCCCAACTTCTTCACTGGGTAGTCGCATATAACGAATTGAAGGGCCATATGCCAGAAGCTTTTCAGCGCTATGTGACTGGGCCATGTATTATATACATTGGCAGGTGTGAAATCTGTGCTTTTGAGGAAGTACCAAACTTTCTATGTCCAGAGAAGTCCCTGCCTGTTACTTGAAAGTGAGTGCATGAAGGTGTGGTGCTGCCCCATGAATGAATTGGGCAGGGTAGTCCTGACTGCCCCTTTCTTGGCAGTAAAGCAAAGAACAATTTGACGACTTCATCGGAGCTTTGTCTGCCCGTTTTAAAACGGGGACAAACTCAAAATGGTATTTTTTTCATAGCAGCATGTGTAATTCAATTCAATATGTATTCGGAGAAGGAATGCTTGTACAGGAGCAGGAGCTAAACACAGCAGATGAAAGAGAATAAGTCTAATACTTCAGTTACACATGTTATCAAAGGAAAGTTGGAAGAAAGCCTGAACAAGGGATGTCACTTTGGCCATGATAATGTAGTTTTTGTATACGGTGTATCAACGCATAACAGATATAATTTCCATTTCTCCTGTGGAATCATCAGTTATATCTTTAGCAATAGAACTATAGCAGCCTAAGGGGATATCTTTCAAGAAGAATGAGCAGAGAGCAGCTGAAGGCCTTCTTAATAGAAAACTTTGAAGCTGTATTTGCTATCCCATAGGCATTTCTGTCAACTGCATCAGCTTTTGACAGTGTGGGAGGTATACGTTCCCCACAGGGGATGCAAAGTAGGGAAAAGTAGTCTGGGTGGGTTTAGAAAGCCATGGATTAGCTTGCAGGCATAGGCATCCTATAGATGTATGCTAGTTCTAGAGGTAGCCTGACAAACGATTTATAAAAACCACTTGTTTTTGCCCTGCCACCTAATCTAGCTAGGTGTAAAAGCTATTTCCTATAGAGGGCTGCATGTGTAAAAGGAGACCTACTGCTTGTTCCGATTCACTTGCGTGATTATCACCTCCACTTTAGAGTTACTACTCAGAATTATCAGAGTAAATAGGAACATCAGAAAAAACATAAAAGCGGTAGAAGAAAGATGTTATGCATAGAAAAAATACAGAACAATTAATGAGAGAGTAAGAGTGGGCAGAAATAATTGTTAGCATGAGTTACAGGGAATAGACCTCTGACAAGGCTAGAGAACAGGACCTAGCATATAAATATATTTATTACCACTGAAACACGTGCTGGTTTTTTTCTTCTTACACTGATGCACAGCATGAAAAATATCCAGCTAACAGATGGAAGTCCTTCAGCAGAGAAGTCAGTGTTTCTGATGGCATGTGTCCTATTGTATCTCTCCTTATGAGAGAGTTTGTAATTCTCTTGCTAAAAAGGTAGCCAGGATAAAAGCCAGGGATATCACCATAAGCTGTGCTTTTGATATAATTTGAAAAGGGGGAAGCAATAGGGTTCATAATTAGAAAAAGTAATGTTGTGAACTTTTGTGTAAAGTCTGGTTGAACATCTTGATTTGTTTTTGAAGTGGGGTGGGAGTGGAATTCCATGAGAGGATCAGACAGTAAAAGAAAAGCTTTAAATGGAGATGGGAGAAAAATCAAAGGAACGTCATTCAAGGCAGAACTGAAGATTTTTTTTTTTCTTCAGCTATTATTAATGTAATACCTGACTTCCAAATACAGGCTACAAGTTTTTTTTTTTTTTTTTAAGAAACATATCCTGAAATGTGGGTGGTGAGGCTCATAGGATCTAGTGGCACTGAGAAAATATTTGGCAAACTTTCTGGTTTCAGCTACGTGGTTCCATTTGTAGTACTTCATTGTTAGGATTTGTCAGTGTCTTCAAAACTACTTGCTATAATGATGGCTATAAAATAGGATTGGGCGGACAACTGATGCACTTCTAATTTGCTTGCTGTATTAGCAGTCACTTGACTGTTGTGCGCTCTTGTTTATATCCACCTGTTGCTTATGGAGTTCTTTGGGGACAGTGACTTGCCCTTTCAAATACGGGCTGTATTAGGGAACTGGAAAGTTTTTTGGGTGGTGGTTTTGGTTCGTCACAAACAAATACAGCACTCCCGTGTGGGTTTGAAGGCTTGCCATTCACAGTCTAGCAGAGAGCTGCCAGCAGCAGGGGCGCTGGAATACAGTTTCCTTAAACTCGGAGAATTCTGAGAGATAATTTGCTTCTAGCAGACAAGTAGCTCTAGATTTCAAGATTTTTCCAAGTGATACTGTTTTTTGGCGGGGGGGGAAGGGGTAGAACACAGCCATATTTTATTGTTCATTACTAATGAGGTGGATAAATTGACTTAAATTTCAGTGCAGAAGGGCGACTACTAGTTCTATTTTCTATATGTTCTACATATAGAATCTACGTTGAGTATCCTGTTAAGGCTTATAGTGCTGACGTGATTTTTGTGTTCTAGTTATGGTTTGAATTGAGAAGGCTTTTAGAGAGATTTGAACTGCTTTCCCCAGACTGTGGATTTAGTAGGTCCATGCAGGTAGGGGAAGATAATTCAAATATTAAAGGGAGGAGACCCAATAGTGGCATAATCAAGCCCAAGATCAATAGGATCATGAGCTTCCACTTGGGGAAAGGTAAAAGTGGCAGAATCTATTATGGAGAGGTTACACTTGAAACCTGTAAGTGATGGTAGTGTAGAAATAGGGGATTATAGGATCCAGTAATCCATATTGACTCCAGAGATCCGGTCTGGAAAAAGTATAGGCAGAAGCATGTAATTTGATGTGCAGGAGCAAATCACCTTTGCACATCATAGGTGTAATTTGTCCTTGAACTCTGATGGAAAAAAAATCTTAAATTCTCTATTAAGTGATTTAAGAGAGCCTCTTCCTCTTCCTGTTTAAATTGTGCTTATGTCTCACAGATGTGTGTTTTTCTGTATGTTATATGGACCTTTATTTTAGTTTGTTCTCAGTTGTGTAACAAGTGACAAGTAAGTGCTACTGGCCACGAGTAAGTATGTGAATTGCCATTACGCTAAGCATGTTTTTGATGTTGGTACTGTATGACTTTCAAATGTTAAAATCTTGTATATAAAATACATATTGTTAGTTAAGTATTACAATATGTCAGGTTTATAGAGAGCATGAGCAAAATCGTTATGTTAAAATTGAGCGTCGCTTATAAGTAACAACCTGCATTGGTATCTTTCACTTTTGCAGGAGGCCTGTTCCTCCCCTTCCCCCCTCCCCTTTCCCCTGGGGAAATAAATATAAGCAAGGATTTCTGTGTTTTGTGTTTGTTTTTTGTTTTGTCTTGTTACCTATTTTGATACTGGAATGCTCTGCTTTACCTTGTGCTTATTTTTCTGTAGCTTTATTAAACTTTGGAGACTTCTGCTACCCTATTTTTCATTGGCCGAATGTAGTTGCTCTGTGCTAAAACATAACTAGTCGCATAAAAGATGTATTTATTTCTGCAGACTTGTTTGGCTGGTGGTGGCTGATCTCACCATGTTTGTTCCTTTTTGGTTGATTGGCACTGATTGGTTTGGGACAGCCGATGTCTGGAAAACTGCCTTCATTTCTTGTGATGCAGAGCTTTCTTGTGACTTGCTTGGTATCTTTCTATATTTTTATATCTAGTTCTGAAATTTATTAGATCTTTA